GATGATGATGATGATGGTGGTGGTGGTGATGGTGGTGATGATGATGATGATGATGATGATGATGATGATGATGATGATGATGGTGATGATGGTGTTTCCTGCTTGCTGCAGCTCTTCCCTCCGTCAGGAACTTGTGGGTTTCCAGCTCGTATCCGGACCAAGCAGCTCTTCTGGTCCAGTGGAAGCCTCCGTCCTCTGTCCCACCAGTCAGCCACTTCAACCTTCAATGGAGCTCCGAGTCCGATCCGTCCGTCAGCCGCTGGTCCACCGTGGACGCCTCCGCCTCCTCCGCCGTCATACGAGGTGCTGGAACGTTTATTAAACTCCTCTTTTAGACTCTGGAAACATCCGGTTGGAGCCTAGAAGACGCAGCTGGACTGCACTGAACAGCACCGCGTGATGGACACGTGAACATTCAGAACATTTGGTCTCACTGGAGGCTTTACTTTCTCTTTTATTGACTTTGTTCCAAATATGTCAATCAAATAAAATCCGCTGTGCAGTTTCCCACCGTCATGGTTCTGACATGTAACGCTTTTATGCACAATATATATCTACTGCCAGCATTTTAGAGCGAGATACCCAAACTTTGACCCAGTCCTTTATGTATTCAGGTATTCAGTCTCTACTGCTGCTTCTAACGGTGTGACTGATGTGCTTCCAGATGTGGACTCGGCTGAATCTTACCTGATCACTGTGACTCCTGTTCACCATCAACTCTGTGGACGACCTCAGTCTCTGCCAGCTGACCTGCAGCACGGAGGTACAGCTGAGAGACCTGGCTGTGGGGGTGTTACTGTAGCAAAACTACCTGCAAACGTGCAAGGAGAGTTGTGTGTTTGTAGGGACATTAGTCAATGTGTAAAAAGATATTAAATGATGAAAAGTCTTTGGCTACAAGTGCTGGAAATACAGACAAACCACCAGTTACCGGTCCAGCGGGCCTCACCATTGGCTGTCTGTTTGCACATGACTTTTGCTGCACTTCTGCCGTGACAGATTCGTATCTGTAACTTTAAGGTTTCAAGGTACCTCAGTAGTTATGTCGCCTGCAAGCCACCAGGCGGCGCTGTCCTCCAGAGTCTTTGAGGGCACGCCACACTGTCTGGTAAATGTCAAGAAGGTAGATTGTTTGTGGGTCGCTGAGCAAAAATTTTCATGACAGCTTGCAGGCAGCGTAACTACTGAGGTACCGGGCAGCAGAGCGGTACGCAGCCAGAGTGAGTGAGCCTGTGAGCCTGAGCTCAGGGCAAAGAAACCCTGGTCACAGCCAATGGTGAGGCCCGCTGGACTGCTGATTAGTCTGTATTTCCAGCACTTGTAGCCAAAGACTTGGACTTTTATTTTCTATTACACATCGACGAATCTCACTACAAACACACAACTCTCCGTACAGGTTTACAAATACTTCTGCTCCAATAGCCTGATGAGAAACGAGAAAAATTAGAAACCCGAGAAAACTAAAAAACCTGATAGAATTCTGAGAAAGCAACGTTCAGGGACAATAAAAGCCGGAATGTTTGGTGCATTTTTCAGCTCTGTTGGAGGTGGTCGGTCTGAAAGTCGCTGCTGTGAACAAAACAACAGTAACCGTGAAGTGGGCGTGGCAAAGGGGGTCTGGACCAATCAGAGTGCGGCGCTACAGAGCGATGCTGAGGACGGACTGTGACAGTCAGAGTAGGTTTCTCCTTCTCTGTTATGAACTTTATTTGGCCATGAACCTGCAAAAACGCTGACTCTGTTTCCAGGTGTGTCCCTGTGGCCCGACCAATCACAGCACGCCTTCTTCAACCTGACGCCCAACACGCAGTATTCTCTGCTGCTATTGGCCGACAACGTCACCAAGAGCATCATCCCCGTGACGACAGATTTCGGTGAGTTTTGAGGCCCTTTCAGCGTGCTTTGTGGTAGATTTTCCCATCATGCTCTCTGCCTGCAGCACCCCCTGCTGGGCAGAGGTCTGCAGCTACAGTTTGTTTACTGTGACACCAGTCTGCATCAGAAAAACGCAACTCTTCAGCTACAAATATGTAAAAAATTAAAGATTGTAAGTGCTGCTGCGATTTCAGAATTGAACAAAACATCTTGTAAAACTCATCATGTGCATGTTTAAAGCCAAACATTAAAAAATACTTTCACTTTGGTACAACTTCACCACATTAAAACTGTGCATGATCAATATTTTCTACAGTTAAAAGACCGTATAATAACATTTTCTAGCCTTAGAATTCCGTATAATAATATTTTTTAGCTGGATAATACTGTGTAACATCAATATTTTCTATGTTTCAAAGACTGTATTATTATGATTTTTTTTCTACCTTCAAAGACTGCATTTTTCTTTTTGGTTTATGTCTAAAGGAATGTAAGAAATCCCGAGTTGACGCTGAACATTAAAGCACGATGCAAATATTCTGGGAGGTAAATAAATACGTATTCAGCAGTTTGTGCAGCTTCCTCCCCTCCTCAACCAAACCAGAGTCGTCTTTCCTGATCTTTGCTCAGTTTGTAGCATCTCTGGCATTTCAAAAAGGTAAAATGATGTTTGTTTTTTTTTCTGTTCTCCAGATGAGCTTCCAGCTGTGGCCACGGCGACGCCTCTGCTGCTGCTGGCTGCTGCTGTCTTCATCGTCTCCATCCTCTCCAGGACTGTGTGAGTGTTCAGGAGTCAAATGTGGTTCTGATATGAAAAAGTAGAAAAGCTTCTCTGGGAGCAGCTTCTATGAGATTAACCTCGACATCTTTGAGGTTTCACAGCTGAACATCAGATTATACAAATATAAAATGGTTTATTTCTTTCTCCTGTTGTCAGATTCTGATGACTATAAATAATATCTGTGCAGGTACAAGTCGTACTTCTTCCCTCCGATCTCCAGCCCCCGAGGAAGCACCACAGGCCAGTGGCTGATGGACCCAAACCTCCAGGTAACCTGAGCTTTACTGCTTTTACATTCGGGTTTCTGACAGTGTGGTTCTAGCTGTGGCGGAAGACGACGCTCCGCTCGACAAACAGAAACAGAACAACTGCAAAGACGTGCAAAGTGACGAAAAAAGACATGCAAAAGGTGCAAATCAACTGCAAAGAGAAGCAAAAGCAGCCCCATGGGAAAGGCTGTGGCTACAAAAGTGACAAAAAAATGCAAACCAACCACAAAGAGAGTTAAAATGAACAGAAAGATACAGAAACACGTCAAAAATGATGAAAAACACCTGCAAAGAGGCGCAAAATGACCACAAAACCATGACACTGACTAAAACGGGACTTAAAACAATTATAACAGACAAACAGAAGACAGAAAACAAGCAGATGGACATGTGACCCAGTGACGAAGAAATGTAGACTGGCTTTAATGAGACGCAGAATGAACATAAATACATGTAAACCTGCTGCAAACAGGAAAAAAAACGACAATAAAGATTTAAAACTCAGCTGTTTTTTTTATTCTGGGTGTCTCATATTAGATGCCTTAATAAAACTTTTTTTTTTTCATTAACAGAAATGTTCAGAGAGAAACGTCCTGCTGATGGAAGACTTCCAGGTGACCGATGTTCTCGGAGAGAAAAGTCTCATCACGGTGAACCCGAAGTCTCAGCCGTCCTCAGAGGAGACCGACGAGGACTCGTGTCAGCCCGTCCAGCTGTCCGTCCAGCTGTCCACCCTCAAACTGGACTCTGAGTACGTCTCTGAAGCCGCACAGACCTCAGATCGGCAGCAACATGAAGCTCACAGCTGGTTTCATCAGAAAGAGGACGAGCAGGTGAACGCCTGCGATGCAGGGAGGCGACGCTTTGATGGATTCTTAGCCGAGACTCAGCAGACGACCTGTAAGGAGGAATTTCTGCTGGACTCTGAAGCAGAAAACGAACCTGGCGACGGATCGTATCTCATCTGCGAGGCGGATTATATCACCAACAGCTGCTTCGGGACAAATGAAGACAAAAGCTTCAGCGGCGCTTGAGCTCAGCAGTAGATGAAGGGCTGTTAACAGAGCTGGTGAAGCGCTGTGACGCTACACTGCAGAGAATAAAAGTCACTACAGGTAGACTCAAAGTGTCCAGAATAACGCATAAACCAAACACAAAGAGACAGAACCACCTAAAAAGAAACAAACAGATGTAAAACCACTGAAACCTGAGCCACAGTGGTCACAAAAAGCTCAAAACAGCCAAATAAGAGATGCAAAACAACTGTAAAGAGGCTCGAGATGACCAGACAGAATGATAAACCAACACAAAATGAGACGCAAAATGAGCACAAGTAGATGCAAAATGGCTTTAAAGAGACAAACATGCACCCAGTGACGTGTAAAATAATCACAGACTGGTGGAACTGGCTAAAAACAGTCACAACAAGATATAGAACCGCTGCAAACTGCTCAATAAATAACCACAAATAGTCTCTGAAGAAAGGTTAAGGGGCTGTTATCAGAGCTGGTGTGGCCTCTAGTGGCTGTAAAGTTACACTGCAGACAATAAAAGTCACTACAAGATGACTCAAAGTGTCTGGAACAATGCACAAACCAAACACAAAGAGACAGAACCACCGAAAAGGAAACAAACACGTGTAAAACCACTGCAACCTGAGTCAAAGTGACTCAAAACAGGCTTGTAAAAGGTGCATAGTTACTACAACAAAGATGCAAAACAGCTCAAGATGACTGGAAAGATCTGCAAACCAACACAAATGATGTTAAAAGGACAAAAATAAATGTCAAACCAGCGCAAACTGAGTCAAAAATGACAATAAAGACTCCAAACGACTGCATAGAAACTGTAAATGAGATGCAAAATGGCTTCAAAGAGACACAAATGCACCACAACCATCCGTAAAGTGACTGCAAAACAATGGACCTGGCTAAAAACACACACAAATAAACAGAAAACGACTGCAAAATGACTCCCAAAGAAAGATTAAAGGCACGTTAGCCAAGCTAGTGTCACCTCATGGCTGTAAAATTCCACCGCAGTGAATTAGAGTCACCACAAAGACACTCAAAACAGACACATAAGAGATGCATAACAACACAGAGCTGCAAAACAACTGTAAAGAGACTCAAAATGACCAGAAACATCTGCAACCCAACACAAAGTAAGATGCAAAATGAGCACAAATAGACAGAATTTAATCCAAAATGAGAGTAAATGCTCAGCTAACGTCCCTTCAGTCCTTTCTTTGGACTCTCTGTGGTCACTTTGGATCGGTTTGCGTCGGTTTTACGTCGACTCGTCTTTAGAGTCAGTTCCATCTTTTTGTGGACTCGGCAGATTCTGTCATATTTCCAGAACACCTTTAATAAACCTTTGAAAGAACCAAAGTGCAGGATTGTTCTTGTGTGTTTCTGTGATTCCATCATAGAAAAGTCTGAGTTATCGGAGCCGTTGGAAGCCCAACACTGACGTGACGTCCACGTAACGTTCACCTTTCAGCACATACTATTAGTATTTCATGTAAACCTCTTAAAGAGCAGATTTCACATTTAAAATTGAGGCTCACCAAACACTAGTGACTGGAATGACTGGAAATGTTGGAGTGCTTCGTGTGAAAACAACCGGATAAGATTCAGGAACGCCTGCTGAGGGGTCAAGGACTGGGCTTCAGGTAAATTCTGACAGAATTTACCTGAAGGTGTTTCATCTGAGACGATCTAAACACTAACTCACGGTTTGAGCTGCCTTTTGACAAACTTATTTTGAAGTCTTTTCTGCTCTTTTTTTTTTTTAAAATGTGTTTTGAATTGGTGGAGTTTTTTTTGCTACTTTGGATCCTGAGGTGTTCGCAGGCCGGATGAGATACATAATTGGGTTCTGAGTCAACCCCATGGTCTCATCCCAGCCGGACCTGCTCAGAAAACCCTCCGAAGGAAAGCCGAACCACCTCAACCGGCTCCTCGCGATGCGACATGGTGACTCTACTCTGAGCTCCCTCTAAGTCCAGCCACCCTACGGAGGAAGCTCATTTCGATCGATTGTTCTCGAGATCTCGTTCTTTCGGTCGCTACTGAGAGCTTGTGACCAGAGGCGAGGGCTGGGACGTAGACGGACCGGTAAATCCAGACCTTCTCAAAAGGTCACAATAATGGAAATGGCTGAACTTCCATAGTTGATTGAGCAGGTTTGACAAATGAACCACGAAAACAAACGTATGTATAGATTTCTGGTTCTCCAAGTATCTCTAACAAAGTATACGTAGTGATACAGGCATAATTTCCATTTGTAGACGTCACTTTATGAGCTGGAGAAACGGATCGAACTGCTACCTGTTATATATATATTTATATAAACATAAACTTACTGCAGAGATGCTTGAAGGTAAACTCTGAATAGTCACATTCTCACACTTAAACTTCTGCAACTGTGACTTTACTCGTCAAAATGATGTTTGCAACTTCGAAGGTTGATCTAAACCCCTGGATTATTTGTTTTTTTTTTATTTTGCCACCTCACAGCTGCTCAGATCTCAGCTCATCTGCAGCGTATGAAGCTGGAGGGGGGAGGTCCTGGACTTCCACAGTACATGAGGCTCCGTGGAGCGTTGCAGCTGCACAAGAGAGGATTGTCTTCAATTTTTATAAGTCGGACTTCACATAAAACTCTGCCAGGTTCTCCAGAAGCGTGAGCTGAACCATCTGTACCCAAGGAAGCTGACAAACTCCTGATTACACCCGTGAACATCTGGCAAAATGGACTTTAGGATGTTGGGAGGGCACAAGAACCCCACCTCAGTGATAAACTGAACTCTGATGTCCTGGACCAGAAGAACCAACGTCTTCTCCGTCTGCTGAGGAGACCGAGGTCCTCTGGAGGGAGCAGGATGCAGTTCATGTCTGCTACAGGAAGACGACTGGTTGGGATGCAGCAGGAAGGTCTGAAGAAAGGCTTCACGCCGCTGAAGGAGCAGTAACCTGAGTTCTGCACTTTGCTGAAATTACAAAACCGGTTTAAAAAGGTACGATTTCAGGATGACAGAATGCAGAAAACGGCTTCACCACAGCAGAAAGGTCAGTGAGAACTATTTAAAACAGAACGTCACATAATTAATATGTGTTTTTTGTGTGTCCATAACGTCTCTGTGCTGTAATCAGTCTCTGTTGTCGCTGGTCATTGAGCTCCAGTCATGCGTGTTGGCAGGTCAAACACAATGTGTTTGTCTTTTAGGGAGTTTTGGCAATTCACAAGTTTACATACAGTGAACCACACAAAGATTTTTACTTGTTGCACATTGTGTGTGTGATGAGGAGCTGCAAGGCGGCTCGGTGGTCTGCGTGGAGTCTCCATGTTCTCCCCGTGCAGCGTGGGTTCTCTCCAGGTTCTCCGGCTTCCTCCCACAGTCCAGAAACATGCTGAGGTTAATTGGTGATTGTAAATTGTCCGTAGGTGTGAATGTGAGTGTGCTTGGTTGTCTGTCTCTAAGTGTAGCCCTGTGATAGACTGGTTACCTGTCCAGGTGAACCTGCCTTCACCCTGAGTCAGCTGGGATAGACTCCAGCCCCCCATGACCCTAGTGAGGATTAAGCGGTGTATAGATAATGGATGGATGGATGTTTTTGACGAATTGTCAGATGAAGCTACAACTTAAAAGACTGCAGGTTTTTCCAGTGTACAGGAAGTAAAGCAGCAACAGACCGGACAGCAACGTGTGGCGAAGAGCTGCTGTCTGGGGCTTAACACGCTTAACATATCACAACAGACCAGTAAAGAGCAGAACAGTGAAACTTTGTCCTTCAAACCTTCCAAACTGCAGGTGGGGAAATGCAACAGATCACTGCGGCCACCAGGTGGCAGCATTGGGAAGCTTTTGCTTGGGCATTTGATCTCAGTTCACAGCAGCAGCAGTTACGAACCAAACAGGTCAGAAATATGGCAACAAGACAACAAAGAGACAGTGGATGTAACTTAGAGCTTAATTCTGCTTTATTTCAGGTCAGACAGCAAGTTTCCTCCACGTAGAGATCCTCAGTGAAATGCAGTTTTGTGCGTCTCCTTGTTTTGCCTTAATGTCTACAGCAGAGGTGCAGAGTACAAAGTCAGACTTTAGTGTTGGAGCTGTGAAATGTGGCCGTCAGATGGCTCCAGTGTGTCATGATGAGCTTCACTGCTGCTTATCGTGGTGCACAAACTTTATCATCTATGCAGCAAGTGCTGATCAGAAATAAATAAAATAAAGGGTCAGTTTATTTTTCAGTGCGGCTACTTTTGGCTTCATCAAAAGTTTAAAGGGATTAATAAGGAAAGTAAGTTCAGTTTAAATAAACTCAGGTGTGTTTTGGGGATTTTTGGGAGCAAACTAACCACAGGATGCGACTGTAGAAATGTGCTTTTAGTTTAAACTCCTTCAGCTGATGGTGAAATCTGTCCACCTGTGCAACACAAAGCTCAGTTTAAATTCTCACCATGAGACCAGTGCTGCCAACTCGTCAGTAAGGACAGAAGCTATTGGCTGTCCTAAAAGATGACGTCATGGACATCAACACACACCAAAAAAACCCAAAACAAAGCACCTCTGAGGTTTCACAAGAAGACATTCCCACTGAGGCACATTTTCAAAGAAGTGTCACATACAGAGCTGTGAAAAAAAAAGATTTATGACACATAACCAAAATCATAATTGTTGTCGATTTTTGCTTTGTGTGCAACAATATTATTATATTACATTATATATATTTATTTACTTATTTTTGTTTGTTTTGTTGTAAAGCACCTTTGAGCATCTTGAAAAATGCTTTATTATTATTATTATTATTATTATTATTATTATTATTATTATTATTATTATTATTATTATTATTATTATTATTATTATTATTATTATTATTATTATCAGTAGTAGTAATAGTATTAGTATTAGCATTATTATTATTAGTAGTAGTAGTATTATTATGCTGTGACGACCCTGACATATCCGGGCTTTCTTTGTGTAAGTCGGCTAGATAAAAAAAGGAAGCTTCAGTCAGAGATCACAGGTATCACGAAGGTGGTTTTCAACTTTCTTTGTCAACTCAGACTTTCTGCTTCAAACTGTTTGCTTAACGTGAGGCATTTAACGCGTCACGTGACTCTTCTTCTGCACAAAATCAAACGATTGTGTTCACCTTCAGTCAGCACGTTGTTTTAAAGGAGAACAATGAGGAATACAAACATTTATGACGGTAAAAAGCGCCGCTACGACAAATGATGAAAACAGGAATGCTGGTAGAAAACTGTTGAACGTGTTCATATCTAATACTTTACTGATTTATTTCCAACTGACAGCTGCTGTTAAAGTTAAACTTTAAACCTCATATTTAAACATGATCTTGTATTGAAGCTCATTTAGCTCTGACTCTGTCCCATAATGCAGGAAATCACTTTAGTTTTTGGCCAAATCAGAGCGACATTAATGTTATTGATTGAATATTCTCTGCAATATAAATCCAATTTAAATCTGAAACTCTGAACACAACCTGGGGCCTCATGTACAAAGAGTGCGTACGCACTTTTCCACGCTCATGTTCAGATGTATCAAGAGCGAAATGATGGTGGAAATGTGCGGTCCTCCATGTCAACTTCTTGACTGGCGTATGCATGTGTCTATTGCTTTTGAGCCGTTGATGACACTTAGAGGTGATGCTGGGGACCTGTTAATAATGTGATAAAGGTCATTCCTCAAAGTGATGTGCACATCAGAGACACACAGATGAACAATTAACACACCCCGGTGTTTGCAATCAGATGAGTGGATATGAAGTGTGCATAAAACAGTGCAGAAGATACCGTTAACAACAATGGCAGCTTTGGCACTGTTGGAGGATGTTGCCAATGGAGCAGTGTGAAGAGAACGGGTTTCCAGAGACCTCAGGACAACGACTGGATCATCAGAATCAGCTTTAATGGCCAAATATGTACACAACAAACATGGAATTTGGTTCTGGCTGTTGGTGTCGCCCGAGGAATGAGCAAGGAAAAGAATAACAATAAAGTACAAGAACTATAGAAAGAGAAAAAAAAAATCTAAATAAATTATAATAATAAAAAATAAAATAAGATAAATATATACAATAATATATGTACATATATAAAATATATGTACAGTGGTGCAAAAATGGCAGTGCAAATAACAACGTCAGTAGTCCGCAGTGTTGTGGCTGAGAGTGGCTCAGCTGTTCAGTAGGGTTATGGCAGTGGGATAAAAGCTGTTCTTATGTCTGGTGGTTTTAGTCTGCAGGACTCTGTATGGCCTGCCAGAGGGGAGGAGGGAGAACAGGCGATGTGACTTCAGACGCAGTAAAAACCTGTTCTGGCCGCTCCTCATGCGTCCGCTCATCTGTGTGAAGCGAGTGCATCGTATTTACCACTCTAGATGTGCTGCTGGACCAGTTCTGGGTTCTGCTGGAGTGGGGAACAGATGCAAAAGAAACGCAACAGATGTTGTGCCGAGACCTGCCGAGATTTGTTGGGTTTATCAATAACTAAAAAACACCCAAAGTACATTCAAATGTACAATAAGGGGGGATGCAGTACTCGGCAGTCCACATGTTGACGCTGCCGAGATTTGCATGTCTGCCGAATAATTTTAATGCTAAGAGATCCAAGCTGTCACATACTATATGTGCTTTGGGTGTTTTTTGTAGTTATTGGTAAACCCAACAAAAAGTATGGCTTCATGATCAAGAAGTCCTGAATCGTGGAAATTGTACCGAAGTTTCGTTTTTAGCCGCGCGCGCTCCTGCGACCCGCATGCGCGCAGGGAAGACTCCCCCCCCTCCCCCCTTTCTGTCTCTCCCGGACTCACCGACCTGACACACCTTTTCAGCACTGCCCACTTCTTCTTTTTCCTCTCCTTTTCCTTTACCCCCTTTTTCTGGTTTTATTGCTCTTTTTCTGTGATGATGTTCCTGCCCTCTTCCTGGTTCTATTGGAGTACAGGTCCTGGATGGAGGGCAGGGGGGCTCCATGATCTTCTCAGCTGGTCTGA